GACTTAGTGTGGGTGCTCCTTGTGATTCAGCAAGGATTAGCTAGCCACACATAAGAGAATGGTAATAAAAGATAAAGAGAAACAGACAAAAAAATAATGAAAATGAACAGAATTTAGTAAGAAAACTTTATCCTAATGTACAGAATTAATGAATGGGAGATGAACTGCAATTTAATGACCTGGCAGAAATTATTGGAAAATAGTGTACATGTAATTTTCATTAGTGCTGGGAGAATGTTACAATTTCGACACTGTACTTTTTGACAGGTAAGTGAATTTTCATGAAAGAGAACAATGGAAATAATGGCCTTATACTAAGGTGAAAAGAGGAAACCCAGTTTGACTGATGTTTGTAAAATACAGTTGGATTTGTCATTCTGGCACATTTTTATATAGTGTTTTTCTAGCATATTGTAAGGATATTTTGATTTGTGCTGATTTGAAATGTTTGCGAGTTGTTTGAATTATCTTTAATATAGGAAATTCACAAACAATATCTAAGATTTCCTCACAAATGTATACCCATGGTATGCCAATTGTTTTATTCTATTATGATAGGAATATCCTCAATCAGGCAGAATAAGATATTTTTAGCAAGCATTGTTCCATTACAAAATGGAGTTTTGAGGAAAGAAAATGCTGGTTGTAAGTGTAATAGGAGGAGAGAGAGGGAGTTGCCCAAGTGATGAAGCCTTGTAATTTGTGCCATAACTATTACACAATTTGTAAATAGAAGAAAAGCCATTATACAAGACATTGGAAATGATGGCAAAGATTATTGATCAAATAGGATGCCAGAGCACCTGACCTGAGTCAGCTCAACCAAATAGCCTGGAATCCCTTCCTTCCTACTGGACCTGGCCATTGTATGACAACCAAATGTTAGATCAAGAAAGTGGTAGTGTTGAAGAGTATGACATATGTGTATCAAATGCCCAGTGGGAACATTAAATGTCATTTGGAAATCCAGGGAAGTTGGGGGATCAGGAAGTCCTCTGATTCCTCAGACACATTTTATAAGTGAGGATGGTCATAAAGTACAGGTTAAACCTGTAGACATGTCATTTGCCCAGTGCTTACTTCAAAGTTTTAACTGGATGTTATGACCCTCTTTAATCACACACACTTGGCTCAACTTTGACCTATTAGAATTCAGTCAACCTTACCTTTGAACTCTGAATTTTGGGTATTTAAGATCAAGTTTTGGTACAGGTCAGTATATCTTTTGTTCAGATTAATCAATTCCCGAATCAGAAACAGGCAATCCTGACCTTTTGCACTCAATGTGGACCACACCAAGTCATCAATGTATGAAACCACAAAGCTCCTTTGGGAGGCTGAAGACTTTTTTGCTAATGAAAAGACTGATAAGTTGTGGAAGCCATTGTTGTTGGCCCTGACCTGTTGTGTATCATGCCCACAAATAAAGATGTGTTGCTTGATGATGAACCAGACAGAGGAATACTCATAGCATCAGTAGTCAGGTTGTACTGCAATCCTTGATGACAGCAGGATCATCATGAAGGATGATGAGCTGTTGAGGACAACTAAGCTCATGGAGCCACTGGTAGTGAACAAGACTACCACTAAAGTGTAGGAGATCTGTTTTAGGTCATTGAATGTTTTTTTTATGGATACATGTATTTGACTAACCCAAGTAGGTATGAGTGAAACATATCCTTCTAGTATTGTTGAATGAAAGTACAAAGAATTAATAAAAAATGTGTTGTACTTATCTTAGGTTTGCATTTCCTCTTGAGTGAAAGTAACTTGTGTGGGTGTGTTTTGTTATAGCAAAGACACATCAGGCTACATGCTGTGTCCACTGAGGGGAATCAAACCCTTGATTTTAGCATTGCAAGTACAAAGACTCTAGCTGTCCCACTGGGGGAACAAAAGTAACTTAACCTATCATCATTCACAAGCACTTTGAGCATCATATATGATGCCCATATGAAGCTCTCTTCTAATGTTATATGTTGCTCCAAAACAATGAAATCCTTTCGCCACGTTCACAAGGATCAGCTGCATATCACATATGATACTCAGGTACTTTCACATTATGACCTGTGAATCACATATGTAATTTGATATTAAAGTTTTTGGAAACTGCAGTAACCATATCTTTCTGGATTAAAGCATTTGGTGCTGTTGGTTTTGAATGTGTTTAGCAATGAGGTAAACATAATGCACTCCTGGATCAATTAGTTAATTTTAAACTAATTGGATTTAAAGTTAACTTTTCTTGTCAGCCTGAAAGAGAGAAGTGGAGAGGATGTTTTATGCCAACAAACCATGTCTCTACCATCTATAGTGGTATAGAATTTTTCTTTCTAAGTTACTGATTATTTAGTTTCCACACTGACATGGTGAAACATGTGGTTCAAGGTATCTAATATTACCTTCTTATAATTACCTCAGCCCTTTATTCTTTTGTTAGATGACATCTTCTTGAGACTTGGTTAAAACTAATTAGAACTGGAATATCCTTTGTTAACCATATGACATCAACTAAATCTGATAGCTGACCAATGCTATGGGGGATCAAAGGTCAGAAGGTGACACTATTCACTGGACCAAGTATCTAAGTGCTTTCTTTGTATCAGTTTTCTCCTAGTTTTTGCAAAGAAAAGACTATCTACAGTTTGCTCAGCATTTTGTGTTAAAGTAACCTATCTTATGAGAAGAAAGACTTCAAAACTAACTGTTGCATAACTTGTAGTGAGAACTGGACTGTCTGTCATAACACATGGATACATATTTTGAGTTTTCTTCTGTGAATAAAGAGCTTTGTTTTACCAACAGTCTGTCCAACCTGTTCACTTTCACACAAAACAAACACTCAGTTAAATACCTTTAACCATTAGAAATCTCGTAATTCTTCCTGGTCAGATTCTCTTTTTATTGCAGATGATTATATTAGACACTTGTTGGGAAATAAGATTTTAACTGAAAATACCACACATAAACACAGTATATGCAATTGCACTTTACTTATGTCAGACCGTCTTGTTCACAAGGTCACTGACTATTGATGACCAAATTTTACTAAACTGTCTTCAATGATGTTCCAGACCAGACTGCCAAATCCAAGGTTCTTACTCCTTACTTTCCAAGAAACTTTGCAGTTACACACAGTGACATGTGCACCACAAGACAGGTCATTCTCATTACAATATAGGAGAGGCCATAATCTTTAGGCATCACTTGAACAATCACTGAAGGGCACTAGTAATGATATCCTTAAACAATGTCATATTAAGCAATATTTTCCCAGGAAGGTGACAGGTATTACTTACTTTGATGACAACAAAGAAATATAGGTAACTTGAAACAAGAACTAAGTGGTTTTCTCTAGCCATTATTAAGTGAAACTTGCACACATTCAGAACAAAGAATATGTTCAGAATAAACATTATAACACTACAGGAAGACAGTAACACATGGTATCTTCATATACCACAATGTTGTCCTATTCATGAAACAAGGCAGTAGTAGTCCATTGTAAATTTCAACTCTAAAATATTTATAGGTATTGACATATAACAATGAAATATTACTATTTATGTGAATATTTAGTTGTTGTGACAGAAAATAAAAATAAGATAAAAAAAAGGTCTCATGACTAAACATTGACTGAAATATATTAATATTGCTATGAAACATGGCTGAATACTGGAAATTGTGTCCTAAGAAATTATTGTTTAAATTCCTTATGACAGCCAATAAATTATAAAGTGAAATGTGAATACAGATAATGCAAGAGATAAAAAACTACAAACAGAGATATTAAGTTGTTAAAAAGTCAAAAGAAATAATAAGGTTTTAGTCTGTCACTATTTGGTGCACTAATTTTGTAAGCTTAGGACAATATCAAACAAATAAAATTGTCATTGTAGATTTTGTTTGTGCATACATCTTTCTACTCTTTCATAGCAAATAAGATTCTGGTATTATCCGCCTTTCATCTAGATTTATCACTGGTTCTTACTGGAACATGAAATATGGAACATGTTAACTCATATTGTAAGACAAATTCCATAAATTATCAGCTGAGCACAACAGCTTTAAGTGATATCAATTTTCATAAGCCCAAATAAAACAGTGATAGGAAATAGTACTTTCATCTAGATTTATCACTGGTTCTTACTGGAACATGAAATATGGAACATGTTAACTCATATTGTAAGACAAATTCCATAAATTATCAGCTGAGCACAACAGCTTTAAGTGATATCAATTTTCATAAGCCCAAATAAAACAGTGATAGGAAATAGTACTGAAATGAGGGTTGTGTTTTTTCAAGTGCAAAAACAGCTTGATGTACATTTTGTTTATATACACAACTATTTACCCTTATATGAGAATATTTTTAGTAACAGAACTGGGAACAAACTTACAGACACAATCACGCTAATTATATAAACCTACTGAGACAAATGCTCCACAACAAGTACTTAAGCACATTTAAGTTGAGCAAGTTCAGTAATTCAGGGGTAATATAAGAACTTCAGAAGTCAAAACAATGTTTATTTGTTATTTGGCTAAAATTTTAATATATTTTCAAGAATTCACCAAATGTTGTGCAAATAATAAGAGTAGAAAATTTTTATGATCTACTTGAAAAAACCAAAAACATTCATTCATAAATGCTGTTTTGGGAATTGATTTTTATGCTACTATGTTTGTAGAGTTCAGCCAAAAAATGTTTTCCACCATACACTTAGATCTATACAAAAGTATCTTATGTTAAAAAGTGTTATTTAATTATTTGTTATTTCAATCAGTTCTTGGTCTGAGAAATGTCATCTGCTATTTTTAAGACATTTTTGATAAATAGGAATCAGCAGATTATTCAAAATAAGGGAATAGCATTATCCATCTTATGATATACCTATACTTGACACATATACAGGTAGACGTGAAATAGCTTCTAACATTGTTATCACAAAAAAGTAATATTATGTATGGTGAGTAAAAAGAAGTAATTTGAAAGTAGAACAAGTTATAAAAAGCTGAATTTTTATTTCACACAAAAGTATTATTTACTCACATTATTTAAAATATCTACTGTCTTAAGCTATAACTAACACATGATTTAGAACTCAAGCAGCATCAGAAATTATGGCATACAAAAAAACACCACTGAAAATGTCTTTGATTTTATAACAACTGTACTTAAAAATGAGAAAGAAAATTCTCATGATTTTTGTGAACATGATCATATTTATGTGTGGGTCTGAACAGAAAAAACTACATTACTGCGAGTTACCAAGATGTATCATAGTAAAAAACAATGCAAATGACTGAAAGAAATACAAAGTTGGAGAAAGGTTTGTCCCAGTATTGAGCATATCCTTAACATTACTCCATGTGCCATTATTGGCAAGGGGCTCAATGTTTAGTAGATGACACAGTAGATTATAGTGGTCCACCATATGTATTGGTCCTGACTTGAAACCTTTCTTAAAAGCTGAAACATAAATACATTTGACATTTTATGTATCATATAGTTATATCATAAATACTAACTGGTTCTATACTTGTTAAAAAGGCATATTTGTTAAGTACTACTTTTATGTTTGACAGTTTCCTAGTTAAAAGCATACATATTGAATCTTGCTCAGTCTAAATGTTTTACATTTGTGCAAAAGTATAAAATTTATTTAAAAAACTCATTATCATTAAACTCTCCAAGTTTCTATACAGACTTGGTACTAAGTACTACATTCATTTCCAATGAAACATTATTTTAAGAGAACACTTTTGTGTTGAGCATAAACAAAAAATAGTATAATAATTCAGTTATGATCTTGAAAGATATATTTTGGAAAGTAACAAGTTAACTTTTTCTTTTGCAAATTGATGAAATAAACTATGAAAATGAATAATCCATAGTTCTTGTCTGTTTCTAAGAAGCATTAAAAATTTTTGTTTGCTTACTATTGTTTATTCATGTATTTATGTGTTGTGATTGTGTAATGTTTGAACTTATGTATTTCAGATTGAACAATTCAATTTGAAACTGCTTGTTGTAACTTTATATATGAAACATACCTGGGCCTCTGGCAAAGAAAATGGTTCTCATATCTTGTACCTTAATTGGATCATAGCCATGACTACCAAGACTGATTTTTGTTGAGTTAGGTTTACTTTTTACTGGGTCTCCAAGCTAAAAAAATAAGAAAAAATCAAATCATTCAGAAGAACTCATTAACAACACACTAAAATTATTAAGTATGGTGTGTAAAAGCCTATCCATAAATAAGATTTTTGAATTTTAAATCATACATAATTTATCAACTTTGCTCAGATATGTATATTTCTCTCTAATTGTGGATATGCTCAATACTGGGACAATCTTAGTTATATCTTTTCTATCACCAAAGTAGATAGATTTAATACGATTTGATTCATCAGAATTCAATAATGTTTCTCATTTGTGTCATATCTTGTTTTTATTGAGAATTTTAGCATTGTCATTTTCTTGAATAATGCCCATATCTTCCAAAACAGCTGAGGTAAGAGCAGCAGCAGCTCTATCCAAAATACAGTATCTGTCAGCTTCTCTCACTACCATTGGAAGTGGTGTTCTCATTTGTTTATTTATTTTAGTATTTTGGGATTTCGATATAAAAAGTGCAGTATTAGCAACATCAGAATCTTCTGAGCTTGAAACCATTAAGTCCTATTTCATTTGGTGGATAGATGATTACTTTTTTTTTCAAACTTCGGTTCGTTTGCGACAGTTGAAGATATAACTGGAGGAGTTTCATACTGCATAAGATTAATTCTTATAATAAAAGACAACTATTGCATACCTTGCTAGCTAGTAAAAGTAAAAAAAAGTAAAATTTTTGACTAAGTAAATTTAATACACCCTAATGAGCATGCAGTAAAAGCAGACAATGTATTTGTTCTGCCAATTTTGTTTTTCATTTCAATAGAGACTTCAGACTTCAAAGATACCTGCTTCATTATCTTCTTTCTCAATGCCATTAAATTTTCATTGCTTATATTTTGATCCAAAATCCATGGCAATAGTGAAATTAATACAATTTATTCTAGTGCAAGTGTATAAGAACTTAAAGTTATTGGTTAATTTATGTTGAAATAATGAAAGATAATATGTAATTCTCTGTAACCTATACAATTTCTACTTTAAGGATAAGCAATAAATTGGCAAAATTTCACATTCATTATTATTGCCAAAAAAAAGAAAATATTTTTAATATTACTGAAATGTTATATTTTATGGAGGAAATTTATACATATTCTAATTCACACAAAAAAAATCAAAACCAATATACTAAGTAAGGTACGATCATGACAATAAACAAAATACACAAGTTCAAAATACGTTTTTTTCAAATGCAAGAGTAAGAGCCTGTAGTATTATTTCTTATTACTATCATATTTCAGTTCTCTGATAAACTCATGCTATCAAATCAATTTGTAACTAAACTTTTTTGTTTACAATTATTCATCAAAATGAGATATCTATGATTATTAATGTAAGTAACCATGGTGTAAATGAAAATTATTATATAGTTATTTCGCTATCTAACTAGACCCCTTGTTAGTTAATCATATTTTACTGAAATAATTTCAAATCCTGAATTATGTTTTTACTTGGTCATCATCAGAAAGCACTTTTCAAAGATATACATCTAACATTTCTAGACATAAAAAGAACGATAAATCATTTGTTATCAGGTAACACAATTATTTTGTAAGATACTAACATATATTTTACTTATTAAAACAATAATGATCAAATGATGTCTCCAGGATGAGTAGAAGCATACTACCATAAATATACACTAACTGTAGGTACAACTGATCTTGTACTCCCTACTATCTTGTTTGCATTGTTTTTGAAGTATTGATATTAGCCATCCCTAAATTTACTTCCTTATTTGAAAAGTTTATCTTTACTTGTTGATTAAGCATCTACTCAGAACACACTGTTCTATTGGAATCAGGTAGAGTTTCCATTACATTATCTCCTTTGATTAATGTCTTTCATGATTGGCTCGAATTTAATTGGATTGTTTATTATTAGTTTCATTTATTTATGAGTAACACAGAATGCTTTTAATACTAAAATTATCATTAAAGAAATTTATCTGTTAGGACAGAAACATCAAGTAAAAATTTAAAGAAATAATAATATAAAACATTAGAATCACCAAATCATTAGATCAAGTTTTCAATGAGCAGAAAATCAAAACATGCACATTATGAACGGATCACACTAAGGTATACCTTTCAATCAAATCATTTTTTATTCAAAAATACTTTCACATTAGACTGCAGAAGCTTTCAACAGCTTGCTAGGCCACATTTGTAACCTAGGATCACCTGAGCATATTCTTCCTAGTAATAATACACATGATATTGAAGCATACGTACGTCAAACTAGCAAGTCTTGCAAGACTACACTGCAGTGCATTACAGGAAATAGATTAAATATTGATTGTGATTGTTTGTAAAAAAATGGGTTTCCTGATCATTTATTGTCTGAATAATCTTATCTTGATGTATATACAATCTCTGAAAATAGATGCAGCCAGAACAATTTAAGGCTATGAGAAAAATTAGTTAGTTTTCATCACACTTCAACCAAAATATAGGGTAAGGAGACCACTTTTTATTTAAGTCTTGAACAAAACTGCCATATAAAGTGAGCAAAACTGAACTGTAGGAGAAGATATGTACATGTCAACATGCTGTTATATCTTTTACCTTTCAGTGCAGAATAGGTCATACTGAACCAATTTTCTCTTACTGAACTTTGAAATTACTATGCATTTTCTTGAAAGTTGGCCCACTATTACTACTAGACAAAAAGTTATTGTACACCAGAAATGAAATTTTATCTAATTTTTTTCATAAAACTTTGAATGTGTATTTCAAAGTACACATTTCAGCAAAACAACACATAAACATAATCAAAAAACAATTTAACCAAATATGTATAGATTTATTATCAGTAATAATACTTCAGTACTTCAGAAAGAACAAAAAAATGTTGGTTTTCCTTGCAGCTACTGACTATAAAGGGAACATGAACCATTACATTTCTATACCCATAAGAAGATAGTGCTGACATGTTAGACACAAGGTTATTCTATTAGGTAATATGCTACAGGTGGGTAACTGATAAACTAACAGAAGAATTGGAAAAACAATTTACAAAAATAACAGCAATGACATGCATCAAATCCTCAGAACCATATGATACAGGAACTACATGCACTGACACAATATTGGTGTTTTCTCAAAGTAGGAAGATTCTTAATGTTTAAATAGTTTTGAATCAAGTTTTCAGTGGTAAAAGAGCAACTTTTCAGGATCTGTTTCACAGCTAAGAAATGAGCTAAACATAATCAATCTTAGCATATCTAGTTTGACGGATTTATTATTATATATTTAATTTAATATCAACGTTTGTTTAGATTAAGTTTATATTTAGAAATATGCATAGCTTATGATGTTAAATATTGTTACGTCTCCGTTTGTTAATTAACTCTCCGTAAATTCGTTACGACAAAACTTTAACGACACAAGTCTTTACTTAATAAAACTGGTTTATTCTTTCCGAATATAACTTTACCGATACACTCAACTTCAACAATCGCGCTAAACAAACGCTGTAACAACGAACGTCTACAATACTTCTGACTGCTATTCAATTACTCACTATCTACACACACATTACCGCGTCACGTTGTCCCCCTCTTATATATACCCGACTACCCCATATCTAGTAAATACTAGAGCATTCGCCAAAGTACAGGATAGTTCTAGAAACATGGCGTCACAGTAATCATGTGACTCGCTGACGCAACAATATGTATTGCAAAATTCCTGCCTATTCTATAAAGTTGTAGAAGATTCTTGAGTGTAAGAACCAACAATATATGTGTGTATGTAAATGATAATGTTAGCATCAGTATTGTTATGTAATGCTGAAAATTTGAGGCCTCCACACGCATATAAATATAACCAATGTGACGTGTCTAAAATAAAAATATTACCTATTATTGGGTTGCTGTAATTGGTGTGCTATAAACTTCATAAGCTATAACTGTGATTGTTATAATGCTTATCAATCAGGACACTTCAAATATTTGACCAGGAACATTTATAAAGTTCGAATATCACAAGTCATTCAACTTCAGTGGATTCACATCAGACATTAGTACTTTTACAAAAACATTACTTAACATCATCGGAGGAATATCAACCTGTAATCGGCATGTGATCAGGGAGAACTACAGGGCTATCTGGCTCCCTGTTAAGTGAATTATACCTACATCAACTTGAAATTAACTCGCTCATCGTCAACCCTTGATGAGATATCAAGGAAGTTTCAGACTAGAAAGAAGACTTTATATTGCTTGTAAGTTTGTGAAACGTTTGTACATAAATCATTGTTTGTAGTAACCATTTGTAATAGCTGGTATTGTAAATTGTATTATTAATTGTATATTAAAATATATTTGAATTAAAAAAACTTTGTGTATCAATCTTGTTGGAAAACATCATAAATTTGAGATATATTGGCATTTATTTAACTACTAAATCCAAATTACAACTTAACTCAGTTTTTGGCCATTTGAAATTGTAATACATAACACTAGCTTAAGGATTATATATTAGATTATAAATCAGTTGTTGATGTATTGCAAAGGATGTTGAGGACAAATGTAAATATGGATTTAGAAAACAGATCTGACATTGCATATCACTACTGCAAGTTATGAATGGCCATTTTAAACTATTCACCTAATTAAATCCAAACTGTGATTTACCATGCAGAGAACAGATTAAGCTAATTTAATTAAACAGACACAGTGGAATGACAAATTTCCTTCTTCATATCCTAACAAGTTCATAATTTAAAGATACAAGGTAAATAAAAAATTGAGAATTTAAAAACCTGCAAATAGGGATCATAAAAAAAATAAGAAAACAAGGCTGGAGATACTGTAGACATTATTTATTCAAACTAAAGACCCCTATTTTGGTTCCATGCTGTTACCTAGAATTACATTTGGTGGAGTTAAATTGGGATTTGTAGTTTGAGTAAATAATGTCTACAGTAGCTTTTATTTATCTTGTTTGCTGGCTTTTTTTTTATGCTCAACTATAGGCAAAGGATTA